TTCGTTATGAGCAACTTCGTTATACGCAGACTTCATGTTGCAACAGCTTCTTCATAAGACTCTGTCAACTTTGGCTTTGGTTGTTTGGTCTGGCTCTCCACTGAGCACATCGCCCACACACGTGTCTGGCGGGATGGCCATGCCATTCTGGCACTTTTCCCCACTACGAACAATTCCTAAGTGTCCAAATCGCTTTCAACGAAATCCAAGTAGAACAAAAAAACCGGCACGGATATCATTGAATGTCCCAACGCAAAAACTGTCACGCTTCTCTACGCATAGTATGGACTTTGACAAGGCGAATGAATTTGAAAGAGCTCAATGGAAAATCCAAGGCTTCAAGCGGGATATCAAAACCACCGGCTCCGCGCAGTAGCTAACTCCTCAACGAACCTGAAATGAAGCAGGGCCCGGGCATCAAGTCGTGGAGGGGGTGGGTGGATGGGTAGAGTTATGTACAGAAGGGTTCGTGTGGATGAGTCTTGACGTGAGCGCCCTTACTCTGACTCAAATCATTCGGTGAAGATGGTGTGACTGTTCTCAATGACGAACTGAACAGCCAGATTCTTCGCGTGCATATCCGTCATCTCGCGCTCAAGGCTGGTGTCTCGCATAATGGTGGGTGCAAATACGACGGCGAGGTTCTTGGGTGACATCTAGTACAATTAGCAAAACGATACAATGTATTCTAGGCTGCGGTACTGACCAGGTTCTCAGGCTCGCGTTTGGCAACGCGAGCAAGATGGAACATGAGGAACTCGAGACAATCGCGATGCTGCTGCGGCATCAATGCAAAAGTCTTCCGCAGGAAATCACACCGCTCGGTCGGCGTGTCAGCGAACGCTGTTAAGGATTAGCATCGGTCATCTTGCACACTGGTTGAGAGGCTCACCATTGGACTGGAGGATCTGGTCGTAGACCTCGTACGTCAAGAGTGGCTGAGGAAGCTTCCGGAAGTACTGCTTCAGCACACTGGTGACAGCCGTAATGTCTAGCTCAGGGTCTGAAATATCGTAATCTTCGTTCTTATCGAAGCCTTCCTGGATTATCTTGACTTGAGAGTTGCCGCCCGTCTTTCGGTAGATACCCTCTATATCCATGCCGCGAAGCTCAACCTCTTCAATGCAGCGGGTCACTACGCTGGGGATCTGGCGCCGCTCGTAGTCGGCGCGATCCACAAGGTCGGAGCCGAACAAGACAGACGGAGCCTCGGCAATGATCTGAGCGGATAGGTTGTTGGCGGACATGGACTTGGGCATCTTGTCCTTCTTGAAGAAACCGAATCCTTGGTTAGGAGGAGGCCTGTTAGGTCCATTGGGGTTGATCACGGCGGGGGCCTCGACCTGAGAGACTGTCATATTGTACGGCATGCCAATGTTGTCTGCCGTGAGACCGGGATGCTGCCGTCCTTCTCGTTCCTGTTGAAAAGCGACGACGGCGCGGTTAAGGCCCTTGGAGACGTTCTGCGCCATTTTGGTACCTTTCTTCCAGTTGAACTTCTTGACCTGTCCCTTGCGAATGTCGACGACCTGAGGCCTCGCTTCAACAACCGCTGGCTCCTCGTTATCATGGGCCATCAGAGTCGTGCCCGTAGTCATGCTGGCGTTGTCACCGGCAAGGTTGAGTGAGGAGCCGGAGAGGCCCTTGTTCTGGCTGTAGATGCCAAGGCCGCTCGGCGACTTCAGATCGCCAATCTGAGACTTGAAGCGCTCCTGGATCTGATGCGTCAGGTCATTGTTCATATCAGCAAGCTGGGCATTTTTCGAGGAAAGCTGCTCGAACTCGAGCAGAGCTCGGTCTCGATCCGCAATGGCTTTGTTCTTTTCCTCAACCAGTTCATCTCGCTCTTCGTGAAGAGCCTCGATAGCTTCGCTCATTGTCTCTTTCACCTTGTCCAGCTTCTGGACAAAGTCCTTGATAGCCGAGTCTTCCAAGTCCCTTGGATCGACAGGAGTCTTTGTCTCCTTGGCCCTCTCGACATATCCGGCGAGAACCTCCAGCTGACGGATCATGATCTCAGTCTGCGTGTCCAGCGTCGAGACAGTCTTTCGCTTCTCCACAAGCTTCTTGTTAAGATGCTTGAGATCCTTCTCTGTGTTGAATTGCCGCTCCAACTCTGCGACACGCTGCTCCGAGTTTCGAAGTTGCCGCTTCAGGAAGGCAGGGTCGTCGCTGGAGTGCAGGGAAATAGGACTGCTGATCTCGTGGCCCGGGCTTGGATCCTCCAACACCATTGGCGTCTTGGGCCATCGGGGAGAAGCTGTGCCACGAGTCGTCTCACTGACGCTACGAGTGTGTCCGCTGGCGCGTTGCGGGGGATGGCTGGCCTCGGTACTGTTCGTTCGGCCGTGGCGCACGGCGTTCGAGACGCGGCGCAGAATTGACGAGGAGCCCTCATCAGTGCCCAAGATTCTGGCCATATCTTCATCCATAGTGAAATCACCTCCGGAGCTCCACCTAGGAAGCTTGGGAGAATGCTTCTCTTTGTCCGTCTTGCCGTCAGTCCTCCCATCGCCAGGGGTACCAACAGGCTCCTTAGAGGGCAGAGGAGAGGCCCCTGGCGCTCCAGGGTGAGGAGGAGCTTTCCGCGGTTGCATGTAACTGTCGCTTAGCTTTTGTTCAGTCATGGGCGGGCGGCTTGGGGCCAATTTGGAGGGAGGCGCTGATTCTTCGGTCACTGTCCTTGATAGGGAGTTTGAATGGGGTTTCGATGGAACTGCGGCGCAAGTCAGTCAAGTCGAATCAATCAGCAAAGGTCTGTGATTCGAAACGTACCATTCCGTGAAGCCGTTGCTGGCAACTCCTTCCTCGCGATGGGCTT